TGCTTTTTCTGGTGGCAGAAAAAGAGAACTGTGTTAAGTGGAGGAGCACTTCTGGGTATTTCTGTGAAAGGTGTTTAGAGGAGGTTTGAATGTGAGTTTTTGAACTGTGCTTGTCTGTTCGTGTCGAGAGCAGGCGGAGTTGGTGGTTTCGGTGGGAGCGCGCAGCAGCGATCGAAGGTAAGGCTTGCCTGGGGGCCCTGGGGCAGCTTCGTCAGGAACCTGTGTGACTAATGCTGCGTAACTGAGAAAAACAAGAGAGGATTAGCTCTGCCTCCTTCACCTCCTTCAGCAGCTAGTGGTGGGGAGCTTCGTGAGACTGCTGCTGGGATGTTTGGATGGTACCTCTGAGCAAGCTGATGGATCAGCTCCCCCACTCAGCACAGCCTTGTGGCAAATACTTTTGAGGTGGGGATCGTGCCTCTTGCTGTTTTTGGAGAAAAGGTGACTGTCTGGGCTGTGAAGGCTGGTGCTGACAGCCCCTCTGATACCTCTGGGTCTTTTGCAACCCCTGCATCACACCTGTGCCAGGGGAGAAGCAAGGATGGAGGTGGAGGGGGCTCAGGCTACCCAGTGCTGAGGACAAGCCAGCCTGTGGGGACCATACTGGGCTGTGTCATGCTCCTCCCTCTGCACTCCTCGTGGTGTTGAAGGAGGTCACTTCTCAGGATGAAGGGCTGAATTAGAGTTTGAGCCTGTGCTTCTGTTTTTCCATACTTATTTTCCAGGATTTCTCTGAAAGGAATTGGAAAATCCCTTCTACGGGCTGTCGTGACAGTCTTGGAAATACCCAGATGGATTTGAACTTTGGTGCTGCAAAGGGCTTTGCGTATTTATTTTCGGCTTCCTGCCGTCTGCTTTGCTTAAGAGCTTTTGCTAGATCCTTTGCATATGTTTGTCCTTGCTCCTCTTCTGGAAACCATTTGAGAACATGCTTCAGCTATGACAAAACACACACCCCCCAAAAAATATCCCCAAATCTCTTGGAGGAATTTCGTTTTACCAGCATTACGTGGTAAGCTGTGAGGCTTACATAGCTGTGGTGTGTTGCTGTTTGGGTGCATCGGTCTAGTTTGGAGACCTCACACAGCAATTCACCAGGCTATTGTGGATGGATCTTTAGAAAAGTGAGTGCCTGAGCGGGTTCAGCAGTGAATGGAATTGTTAAACTGATTTTAAGTTACTTACCCTGTGCAAGACAAAGATACGATGGCTTGAAGCCTCATCTAGGTTTCCAGATATACCACTGTGCCATCTTTCTGAGGTCATGCTTCCCATCAGCTTTAGCTGATCTCAGGCTGTTCTCCTGCCAGAAATTCTTCCCCTTTATTTTCTTCTTTCTGGGATGGCTTCCAGTTGGATCAAGCAAATGATGGTTGCTACCACAAGTGTAGAGATGACTGGGATGTGTAGAAGGGGAGGATGGAAAAGTCAGGACTGTCTGTTTTGGCAGGGAAGGGTAAGGCACAGATGAGCATGTGGGAGTGGGTGTGGCTTGCTGAAGGGCAGCCATGTAGCCCCTAGTAGAGCATGTCCTGCTTGTACCCCAGTTTCCTTCCCTATAAAAGTGTGGTGAGGATTAAAAAGTGTGTTAATATTTCTTTTAGGCTACAATGTTAGTAGAGGCCTTTGAGGGGTACTGCTATCTGATGGCTTCATGTACATGCTCAAAGTGTTTGGCTTCCCAGTTAACCCAGAGGAGGTTTCCCTCTGGGAGGACTTTGAGCACAGCTTTAAAAGAAAACTTTCTGCTGAACATATCAAGGAGAATATTAGATTGAATACAAGGGAAAAATTTTCTGTGATGGGGGTGGTGATGCACCGGAACAGGCTGCCCCCAGAAGTTGTGAATGCACTGTCCTTGGAAGTGTTCAAGGAGAGGTTGGATGGGGCTTTGAGCAACCTGGTTTAGTGGAAGGTGTCCCTGCCCACAACAGGAGGCTGGACTAGATAGTCTTTAAAAGTTCCCTTCCAACCCAAGTCACTCTGTGTTTCTTTGCTTAAATACATTGCAGACCAGGGCCTGATGTGTTAGTGCCTCTCTGGGAGGGACAAATTCTGCTGTCCTGTTCTCCTCCATAAACCTACCCCCATAAGGCTGGGGGTAGGTTTATCCTCTTGCCTGACCTGTTAAAAACCTTTATCTGACCCATATCAGGCTGAAAAGCCATTGTGCTAGTTGCTAGTTGCAAGCATGTTATCAGCTTGACAATGACTTCTCAGGGCCTGGTGGCTGGGGAGCTGGCATGGCCTGTGTCAAAGGGAGTTGTGCATCTTTCTCCTAAAAGCAGTGCAGAACTCAGCCTTGATGTTGGTTTGGCGGGGTGGGGCATGGCTGTTAGTTTGAGATTGAAATTGCTGATGTTGGAAGATCATCACAGGAGGGGGGCAGAAATTAGCATAAACCTCCTAGAGAGAATTTAAATATTCTCAAAGCTGGCAGGAAACACCACATTTCCCTATTTAGGCTTCAGAGGAGGGTTTCTTTTATGATGAGTGTATCTGCTTGTGACTGGGGCATTAGCAAAGCTGCACAATCAGGCTTGGGGTCTGGCAGGTCCTCCAAGGTCATATGCCTGCTCTTTTGGCCAGTGTCACCCTTCTGGTTTTACTGCTTATGGTGTGGGGGACTTCTGGTCACTCCTGCTGTGCAGAACCCTCCTATTTCCCTGCTCCATCATTTTTCTTGCACCCTTCACTCCTGATCTGGAGAAGCTTCCTTCTCCCTTTGTAGTCACCTGGTACTGCTTAGTCCTCTGCCCCCTTGCTTCATAACTTGTTTATAAACTCTGGTGAATCTTTTTTTGCTGCATTAAATGAAATAAAATGTTACTGCCAAGAGGCACTGAGTCATCATGTCTTGACCAAGGACAGAGAAGAGTCGCTGAGGTGGTGACACTGAGAAACACGTATTTTGGTGGACAAGTTGGAGCTGCAGGAAGGTAGCAGAAGAGCTTTGCTGTCATGAGTGTGTCATCCATGCTCTACATTGCCTGGAGCCTGGTCATGTCTCAGGAAGGAGCAGCCCTGGGATGAGTGATGCTGCTGGGCACTGTGAGAAGGGAGTTTGGGAACAGAGGGAGAGGCTGGGCAGTTGGATTCCCTGGCACTCCAGTATATCTGTCTGCTGCAAGACAAAATACTTTGTCTGAGAGCTGGAGTTGCTTTGGGAAGGCAAGCCAGGCCACCTCCATATGGGTTTAATTAAATCCAGCAGCACTTAGGGAAGACACAGGCATCTCTTTTTGACTTACTCAACAGTACTGGGAGGCGAGGAGTTTTGAACTTTGCCAGTGGTGTTTCTGCAATGTTGTCTTAATAGTAGAAATTGCATTGAGAAAGTTGTTAGAGGAAAAAGGAGCCAGAGGAGGAAGGGAGAAAAGGTTGTCTGCACGGCAGCCATGCTGATCTTCTTTATATGCTGAGCCCTCGGGCAAGGCATGGGTCAATGCCAGTGCAGATGAAGTCCTCAGAAGCTAAAGCAGCCCCCTTTACATTTAAGCTATGTGAAGCTAAGGTATGAATTTCCTTGCTGGGGGAGGAAAGTTGTCTTTCCATACTTTTATACATAAGCTGCCACTGAAGATTATTGGCTGGGTTGGATTTGTCATGTCATTTCTGTCTTTGTAGAAATGCTGAACAGTATTCATTTACTGGCTGCAAAAGAACAACAGAAGACCCTCCTGGGGTCTTCTCCGTAACAGGAATAAGTAACTTTTGTGTTTTGCCTAGAGTGGTAATGTAAAGCATCAGGGAGAGCAATTATAAATGGTGATGGAAACTTTGTGATTGAGGCTGGAGTCCGAGGTCTGTGCTGTGGTCTTGTGGCCTTCTGCATTGTTTTCATCCTCAGAAATGCCTTCATCCCTTCCATAATGGGAAAGGAGAAGGGGAAAAATGAGGGAGGGGGCACTGCAAATGAATTGCAGTTTTTCTCAGTTCTTTAAATACCAGCTGGCAATGACTGAGGTCTCTGAGTCACCCGCAGAGACTAGGGAAAGCAGGCAAGTCTCTTTTTCTCAGTCCAAGGTAAACTGATGTGCTGCATGAGTAAGTTTTCTCACAGTTCATAATGAAGTCCAGTTGGCAGGAAATACATGAGACATTGTCAGGCTGATTCTGTACCTTCCTCTTGCTGGTTTGGTGCTTTGACTAAGAGAAGTTGTCCCTCCGTGGTTTTTTACCTCCCTCAGATTATAAATCCTCTCTGTGTTACAGCGTGTTTGAGGATGGCTGCTCATCCACCATGTCCCTTGCTATCCCTGAACTGTTGCCTGAACAGAATGGGAAAAGTAAAATTGTATTAGATGAGGTGACCTTTGCTTCAGTTGTATCATCGGAAAACATCTCCTTACAGATGCTTAGAGTTGTTTTCCAGTAAGACATTCCTGATACCTCTTTTTTGGCATGCAGCAGACACTTCACATGCCCAAAGTGAGGTGTTTTTGCAGCCCTCAGAGGCAACTTCTGTCACAGCTTTTGCTCAGTGCTCCTAGATGTCTTTTCTGTGACTAAGGTACAAAAGCTTTATCTAGCAATCAGTGGAAGATATAAAACCATTTCTATTATGAAGCCGTAATGATGAATCAATAATAATGATGACGATGAAAAAATGGAAGCATCCTGGCTCTGACATCACGTGGGATTTGCCTGCTCTGCAAACTAGAAGAAATTGCACAAGTGCTGTGGAGCAGATCTTCAGCAGCGTCTCAGGGATGTTAACTTCAGTGCGTTGGCTGTTGAGGAGACTTTACTGGATGAACAGCCTTGGTTTGGGACTCATCATCTTGCTTTTTACATTGGCTTCCTTTTGTGATTTTGGAGAAGTCCCCTGACAGCCTCATGCCACGTATCTCCACTATGGTGCCAAGGCTAGAGAGGAATGTGTTCAGGGCAGGGATCTAACACCCTTCCAGTTCTCGCGAGATTGCTTTGGCATCCTTCCCTTTCCCCAGCCAGCTCTTACCAATGTCACTAATTACTATTTTCTCTAATGCTTACAGGATTTGCCAGTTCCTTTATGCCAATGGGAATCGTGTCCTGGCTCCTTGTCAGTGCTTTAAGAGAAGCCGATGCTCTGAACAGGTATGTTTGCCATGCTCCTGGCGAGGGGAAGAGGGTTTATATGAGTTCAAGAGTGAAATGTGTGCAGGGTTTGCCTTATGGGTGTAGAGTGGACACTGTGGAGGAGACTGCTCCACAGTGAGTAGTTATTTTTTCCATCCAGATGCGTTGTGAAAACATCCAGGCAGAAGACAAGGTTTGCATTTAGCCTTGCTGACAACCCTCTGAGGGGAGCACTGGAAAACACAGCGTCGCTGCAGAGCAGCTCCTGGGAGGCCATGCTCCTCGCTAACACAGGCATAACCTTTTCCTTCCAGGAGCACCAGCTGGGGAATCCCGGCTGAGCTCGAGACTGCGCAGGCGGCTGCTGCGCCCTCCTGCCTTGCTGGCCTTTGGTAGCTCCCCCGTGGTGTGTGTGTCTGCCTACATCCTGAGCTGGAGTGGGAGGGAGCTGTGTTCGTGTTGGTATCCAACCACAAACAAATCTGCTGTTGTTTTCCTAATGTATGGTGAGAGCAGCCTCTAGCAGCTTTTTCTTCCCTGGATAATTACTGCTCTGCTCTGCCACGGATTGCTAGCAGGAGCAGTGGAGTAGTGCCTCCGTTGCACTGCCCCGTGCGTCCTTTTGCCGGAGTTATTTGATTTGTTATTGCTTTAAGGCGTCAGTGCTCAACTGAAAAATCTAATCTGCAGTCTTAGAATGCCAGACAGCTGCAAAGTAGATTGCCTGAGTTGGATATGGTCCCTGAGATGCCAAACATGCTTTCTATAATGCCCCTTGCTATGCTACCGGCAGGTCCACTTGCACCTCTATTTCATTTCCTGCATTACTTTGAGGAGAAGAAAATATAGGGCTGGGTTGCAATCTACTTTTTTATCAAATGGAATTATGTTCCCAGCTGACCAGTGGTGCATGTGCAGCCACTGGAATTGGAGTGAAATATTTTGCCATTTGTGATCACTCAGGGGGAGGTCTGAAAAGCAAGTAGATGGATACTGCTGTGGGAGCGTCGGTGGACGAGGAAGGATTGGCCTGGCATGCTGAGCTCGAGCCTTCAGCTTGCCATCAGAGCTTACAGAGCAAAAGAAGCTCCTTCTGTGAATGTCCATCCCTGATGGATCTCATCTCAAAATGGCACTGCCTTGCATTTAGCTTGCCTCAGTGGCCCATTTGACTGTATAAGGACATAGCCATAACTTGCTGCATAAAGCTTTCTTGATCCCTATAAAAGTGAAATGGATTCATTGTGGAAAGTGACCTTTCCTGAAAACCTGGTTTATCCAGGACTGTCTGGGTGGTGCCGCAGACATGCTGGAGGAGTAGGAGTCAGGGCGGAGTTGTTTCCACCTAATTCTCCTGTAATTCTTGGGGTTTATCACACCATGCAAGCAGACGTGTCTTCCACTTTGGAACATAAAGCAGAGCTGGTTAGTAGAGCACTGCCTGTGCTTCCCATGCTAGCCTTCTCCATGTGATTTCCTTTTCTTGAATTAATTTTGTAGTGTAAAAGGCCTCTTTTTAGAGGGAGAAACATAATAAGAATGGGAACTGGAAAGGCAGGAGTGCCTCCATTTGCTAGCAAGATGTTGCAGGTGCGTGTGAGTCGGAGGGAGCCAGCACTGAGTCAGTGCCCCAGGCTCCTGATGACTCAGGTGGCAAAAGCCCAGGTTCTCTTCTCATGCCTGAATTGCAGCAAATTTCCTGTAACGAGGTTTTGCCTCTTGTAGTGACCATATAGGGAGTGCAGTGCCATCCTCTTCCTCCCATATGGGTTATGAGCAGCTTGGTTCACTGGGGATGCACTCAAGTGATGGTGGTGGCACTTCTCTTCCTGCCAAAACAGATGGAAAATTGATTTATCCTAGCACCCTCAACCCTACCTCTCCATTTTTTTTCGGATTTTTTGTTAAGATGAGACAAGTCACAGGAGTTGCAGCTGTCCGTTGAGCTTGATGAGATTCTTATGCAAATCTGGAGGCTGTGTTCTCCTGGCAGATCTGCTTGCATGTATTATCCACTACTTCATCGTATGGAGAAGGGATCTATTTTCTGAAACGTGGTTTATTTTTAGTCAAGACTTTCCCTGTCTAACTGGCAACAGTTCAGCATTTGCAGTGCAATTTGCAGAAGAAGCAATTTTGCCAAATACTCGGACTGGGGGAAGGGAGAGGAAATGTCATATTAGCTAGTGAAAAAGCTAAATGCTGACTTGAAGAATACCTTAAGACACTGTTGTGAGAGCATAAGGGTTGGGTAATGCAGATTGAGAACAGCATTGCATTTGCTGCAGTGGATAGTTCAGTCTGGCTTGCTCTTGTTTTTCATTGTGATGGCTGCCACAGAGGTTAACCAACAGTGGATGTGAACTGCTCTTCAGGGGCAGGTGGATGATGTAGCCAACCTCTTGGCCTTACCGTGAGCAATGAACTAGCAAAGTCACCTTAACTGCACTTGTGGGAAGTGTTGCATCCATGCAGTGTGTTGCACTGTCCTATTGCACCTGCATTTGGTGCCACTGGAGGCTCACTGAGGGTTGAGCTCTTTGATGGTATAGGAGTCATCATCCCCATGTTTGAGTACCCTTGTCAGATACCCTGAAATGAATAGGGTGGCACATGGGATGTCCTGGGGCAGAGTGGCAGCTGTCTCCTCCTCTCTTACCCAGCTACTGCTCCAGGGACAAACTCTCTTCATATGCCTCATTGCTTTCACCAACTGCTCCTAACCATTCTGGGTCTTGCACTGGCTTCTCTCATGACAGCTACCCTTCAGAGGTAGAGATATTTTCTTCTTATTTCTGTATCTCCCCTGATGTTTCCATCACTCATTTTTACCATTAGCTGTTAGTGCTGCAAGGACCAGACATCTGAGACTGACACCAGAGAGCGGATGACTGTGTTCAAAGCCTTTGGTACTTACTCCTCTGAAAAAATGAGAGTTTATTCCACATGTGGGCATGTAAATATTTGTTTGCTGCTGCAGGTTAACTCCTGCAGTTTGCTTTATATTTCTTCTTCTTTCCCCCCTCCCATAGCAGACAATTGCACAAGAGCTTTGTCATGGTTCCATTAAGAAAACAAAGAGAAATTGTTCCATTTTAATTTTCTGCTGAATGTTTGGAAACCAGAAGAAAGAGGGCAAGTAGCACTAGGAATTTAGGTGTATTCTGCATTTGGTCCAAGTGGGTATATGTTACCTGCAGGTAATGGAGCTGTATCTTTGTGAAAGAATTGGCGGTGAAGCAAAATTTTAAGTGCTGTGTCGGTCATTGGGGTAGAAGCACCATGAGAATCAAGGTAGGAGCACCCATCAACTGGCTAGAGCAGTAATCTTCCCAAGGGAATTAATCTAATTTAACCTGATAAAAGAATCTATGCAGTGGGGGAAGTCTCTGCTGTTTCCTGATAAGCTTCCTGAGAAGACTAGGGAAAAATAAGTGCCAAAACGACACTCTTCTCTCCAAGGGGGAGGGGGCATATGTTTTCCAAAGACTTGTTAGTATCTCCTGTTGAAAAAACACCTGTATCAACTGGCAAATCAGGATTGTTGTAGCTATTCAAATTTCCCTAGTTCCTGGGGACTTTCTAGTTACAAAGCTATTTGCAAATCCAATGTACATGTGGAATGCAGAAGATCTCGTGTCTCCCAGTGTTGCTGCAGTGCTTGGCCCCACACTTGCCATACATCTGATGGCCTGTGGATATAGACACTTAATAAGTTTGAAGCTTTTCCTTAGGGAAAGTTTGTGGGTGGTTGGTTTTTGTGGGATTTTTTTCCTTTTTTTTCCCCTCACATTGCTAATTATTTCAGGGGAACTCCTATCTTATTTGTGTTTTCTTTCCAAAAGTAGTTCTTTTGATGTCTGTCTCTTGCCCTCAAAGGCTGGAAGAACACTGATACGTTAGGAAAGCCAGTCTCTGCTTTAAATGGCCTTAAGCATGTGAATATTCAGCTCAATTTCCTTTTACAGTGGCTTGCTACAAAATGAGAAGGAATGTCAGGGCATCTCTGGGTCAGCCTTTCTTCTGACCCTCGGGTGAAAGCAAGGAGGATTTCACTCCAGCAGCTGAGTGCTTGAAGGAGGAAGTGTCTACCTCGAGCTTTGAGTACTCTGGTAGGAAAACATTTTTTCTATCAGTGAATTTTTGCTGATGTCGTTGAACTATGCTTAAACTATGTGGGCTTATATTGTAATCTGCTGGTAAAGATACTGTGAAAATATCTGTCTGGGTTGGACCAAAGGTATATGTAAAGTGCTGATTTCCAAATGAATACCCTGTCTCCAGTGGTGTTAGAGGAGCTGCTCTGGAAGGAGCTGGATGGAGGCTGAGCAGCCTAATTCAGCGTTCTATCTGCTCTAGTTTGACATCGTGCCTTGCAAATGTGCTGGGTTTTTGAGCAGGCTGAGAGCTGTGCTTGGCTGGCAGCCTCCAGCCGCAGGTACTCAGGCAGGTGAGGAGTCTGTGGCTGAGTGCTGAAACCCAGATGTGCATGTGAGGTTGCAGCAGTGGAAATTCTGGCAGTCTGTGGGTTACATGCAGCAGAGAACAGAGCTGACTTCTGCAAGGGTCAGATCGCAGTTTTTGAACTCTTTGTTTGGTGCAGGTGAGCAGTTGCAGCAGGCAGGTCTGACCCGTGGGCATTCTGCAGTTGGTGCTTACCCAGTGAGGTGTGACAGTGCCAATGCCAGCGTCTCTCAGTGTGGTCTCACACACAGAGGTTTTCTCATGCAGCCCTTGTGGAGGGTCAGTGTTTGGTGACTGTCTGAATTGCTACTTATCCCTGGGGGTGGTTCTGTTCTGCTTTGCCCTGTAATTACTTGCCATGCATTGTGTGCTTCCCAGCAGCTTTCACTGCAGTTTTTAAGACGGAAGATAAGGAACAGTGGACAGATGGACATCTGTGAGGGCTGCTCGTAGTGGGCAGGGGGAATGATTTTAGCCCTGGTACTTGCATGAAGCATACTCTCCAGGCAGATCCCACTGTGACTCTTGATGAAGTTTCTTTTTTCTTGGCTGGC